TCCCGAGCCCACCCCAACGCCATGAGCGCCTCATATGTATTACTCATCTATGGACATAGTTTTCACAGACTTTCAAGCAGCAATATGTAATCAGCTTTTGAAGGAAAAGGTATGCCTACATAATCGAACGATGACTAAGCGTGGTTTTCTATGCACTATTGCACGAAATCTCTGTATCCAGTCCACAGTGTCTTGTTATAAGCCCTACTCGGAGCTGCTTCGGCGCTCACAGATTTCCCACCCTTCCCTATTTGAAGCACAGGCTGTGCCTGCCAGAGATGGGTGGCGTCGTTGTGTCACTTTCAATCACCGCTGCCGTTTCCTGCCATCCTTTTCTCTTGTGCTCTAGGTAAGCTTGATATCTTGGGCAGCGTTCAGAGTAGGCGATCGTACATGCGATTAGGCGATTGGGCGTTCGCTCAGTGGAAAGCTCAAACAAATCGATACGTATTCTTTTCTTATCGCCTACTTGTCTGTTCGCCTTCTAGGCTAATCACCCGATCGATACGTACACTTTGTTCTCGAGTCGCCTTACTGTATGTACGATTGCCATCTCTCTCCATAATGTATTGTCAGACGATCCTGGACTCACTCGGGCAGTGCAGCTAGATGAATAGCCATGGGCAGCAGAGCCAGCTGTCTATCTACCTTACACTCAAATAGATGATGTAGTGAATTTGAAGCATGTCACAGCTCCTAGTTGTGAGCTTCCATACTGTTGTTCCCAGTGTACTGGCGGTACTTTTCCGACTTCCAGTGCTACTCTTCAATAGGTGAAAATAATTTCCTTGATGGAAACTTTCTCGGGAGTGCTGGATACTTGTATGTACCATTCCGAATTCTGACGACAGTTTTCATGACATTTCGCCTTACAGTTGAGCCTTGGAAACGACGGATCCTTGCTATTCCTATTTCCAGTTGGGCATTTGTTTTGGCTTGTATGTCACCTTCGAGGAATTCTTTACATTCTGCTCATACTTGAAAGGGTGATGCATTTCCAATAATGCTGCAAGCCGAGTAGTCACCAGTCAGTCATTTGAACACAACGCTGGATCGGAATCCTTATTGCGAATCAGTATGTGCTTAAAGGCATACACAATCGAAAGCTAACTGTTATTGCACGGTCATATTCACGCTTATACCTTGAAATGAAGGTATGTGCAGGCGTGAACTGCAAAGGGATTGCGGAAAATGATGTTAAATGACGAAGACATTGGGCGCCGAGAAGAGAGAAGGGCGAGAGAGCGCGGTGGTGAGCAAGACGCATCGTAGTCCACCGTGTAACATTCTGCGTTGCTAATGCGCATTTCAGGCACAGTAAAGCGAAAAGCAGCAACAAACGCTGCTTCATTGCGTTTCAACCTATTCACTTATCGACTTATCGATGAATAATTTTTTTTTTCCCGCAAAAGGCTCTATACATCACTGATAGATGCAGGCTGCGAGATTGGATCTCCCTAAGTTCATGCTTGTCACTTCCTCGCCTCCACGGTGCTGTGTTCCAGTCATTACATCACCGTGACATACTCTAGTCATCTCTACTCATTATTCTAATCATAACCATACTTCTGTTTGAGGTTTTGCGTTTCTTCTCTCTCCTATTCTCATACTTGAGTCACACGCTCTGTCGCAAGAACTATTTTCAGGGAACATTAGTAGCTTCAAAAACATGAACCGCGCGTGAGGAAGCATCATACTCTATTGGCTCTATCCATTTTTCTCATTGAAGGATGAAAACTTGCCACAGTTTCCACTGATCGCATTGGTACGATGGTGCGATTCACAATATTATTATGCTAGAAAACAGCAAGCAAGATCGCTTCGCACATCGTCCTTGCTGCGATCATTCAAGCCAGGATGATTAAGTTTGAATTTCTACAATCTTTTGAGTCGATCAACTTTAATTCGCACATTTTACGATCGATCAAGGCGAGTTGTTTCTAGCAAACTGGACGTGAGACTCATGGGATAGAATCGACTAAAACGTTTAAACTTGAAGTCTCCCTACTTTTGTAACGGGAGTGGTGCTATGAAACGAACACTGAGCGTCGATGGGAGAGTGCAGGCGAGAGAGCATACCCGATGAGAGGACGCAGACAGTTTGCCGCACAAGTAATATTTGCACTGCGATCAACAGCGGAATGCATCCTGTCCTAAGTGCATCGTGTTGATAGAGAACGACTGGCGCCATGACAACATAAGAAAGAAAAACATTTATAAACAAAAACATTTATAAACAAAAACATGTTATTCTCTATTCACGATCAATAACGCATCAAAGAAAAAGATAAGGCAACGGGCGTGATTTCCTCGTTTTATCCCAGTTTATATTTGCACAGACTTCTCATGCCGTTGATTAACCATCGTTTCACTTGTGGAAACAGTCTTTCGCATCCTCTCATGCTCAGCTACAGCATGGCATGCCGTTCACGAAGCATTTTCTAGCCGAGACGGAATTCGATCCTACGGGTTCTTCACGCAATTGCAGCGCCTCTCGTCGCTGTATTACTACCGCTCTCATAAAGTTTCCAATTCACTTCACTCCATGGAATTAGAATTCTGCCTTTTTTGTATTTTTTTTCGGATACATTATGACCAGGAAAAAATATCTTTGACGCATGTGTCTGAAAGCGGCATATTCCTCGTCCGTGCGGCACAAAATACTGCCCCCCCCCCAAAATACCCTTCAAAAAATTAAACAATAAATATCCAAAACCAATTACAAATCGTCTAGAGATTGCTTGCGATATAAAAAATAATTTCTCACTTTCATTTTCAATTGTTTGTGAATTAAAGCCCACAGGCTCATTCACAGGTTCAGTTTAGTCCCATTTTTTGTTCTGTACTAATTAGAAAATTCTTTATGTAGTGAATTTTCTTTTCGTCTTTATAAGATGTTGAATTGGTTGTTCGAACTCTCTTGTAAATATTTGACATGTACAAAGTGGAAGCATTATAGCTAAGGTTTTTTATTTCTCCGCCACATTCGCCATGCAATTTCGAAACTGCGGCTGTGCCTCGTCATCATAGCGACGTCTGTTTCAGCGCCACCCCTTTGAGGTTGCAGAAGGCAATAGAGCGACACGTTGCAGAGCTATGTCACTCGTCTATTTCAATGAGATCCTGAAAGTCATCGAAAAATCTGTAGTGAGTTGATCAATTCTTACGTATAGTACCTTCTTTTAAACCGTTTGTTTCTATGTCTGGATCAGCAGTTGCGCAAGTTCTTGCTCGTGTAGTTGGAATAGGGCTTCTCTCCCAGTGTTTGTTTATGCTTTGGTTTGGCGTTTATAAGCCAAAAGCGTTTTCATGTGCTATCCGCAGAATTCTTTTTACTGCATGTTTTCTTCATTTTGTGAACGGGATTCCATAATAGGAAAGGGGCGATAGTGGCTTTAGGGGTGTGGTTCATTATGACAGAAAGCGACTTTTTCGCACTGCAAAACGCAAAAAAGTAGCTTTCTGTCCTAGTGAGCCACACCCGTGGCGTAGCAGCAAGTGTTGGTCGACGGACTACTTGAACTCGGGCGTTTTCAAGGCTTAGTCCTAGGACTCCCTTTCTTTCCTTGAGACTTCGAACCGAGCTAGACGCCGTTCTCTAATTGCCTGTGCTCTCCGCTATCCGTGGCAGGACTACAGAGGAAACTTCAAGTAACCCGTGAGGAGGATAAAAATACTGATTCGTACAGCCCAGAGCCACTGTATAGGCTAGGTCGCATTCAAAAACCACTGCAGTCTTGAATAGAAGCAGAATGCGCGGCGCATATCGAAAAGGGTTGATTAACAATGCTTTATACTTTTTAGGGTTTTAAATAGTTACCTTACATTCGAATCCACTTTCTAAATTTCAGCCTCTCAAAAGAACCATCGCCGGGGTAGCCACACAAGCAGGATGTGCGGCCGCTGGAACAGCAGCAGGAGGACTTACTCTGGGACCACTTGGAGCGTTGATTGGAGGCATCATGGGAGCAGTCTATGGTTATAATTGCAGTGGCGACTATGACGTAAGCGTTTTCATCCTAATTAGCTCTACATGTGTCATCTTTTTGACTCTTTATTGAGGCTTGGAGATACAGATCTGGTTGTAATTTTTTTTTTCGTTTTTACTTTCGGGTCCAAAAATCACTAAGTTCGGAGATACTTTACGGTTCGGCTTGCAGTTCGAGTGTGTAACAGATACGTATCGATTGTGTGATCGCATGAATTTGCGATGCCAGGCTTCTCGTGAGCCGAAAGTCCTCCATCCCGGTGTCAGTTATGTGAAGTTGAAGTCCATCGTACCTGTCAACGTATCACATCGCCTTCCATCTTCCATCATTCGCCTGCTATTCTAGTTTTCCTGAGGTATAATTTGGACCAATCCTCATTTTCCCATAGTCGCTGAAAACATCGCTCAAGAATTGGTATTTTGTTCCTATATTTGAAAATTTAGAGCCTTCTTTTCGCTCTTCGCGCAATGTCTGAAAGAGAAAAACGTCAAGTTACTGAACAGGTCGGTTACTGATAGCCTGCACTTGTTCTGGAAAGGAGAATAATTGTTCAATTTTGACTTTAGGTTCAACGCCTAGTTGGGTCAGCTTCTGTGGAGGAGCTACTACGATACATAACAACAGAAGCTCATAGAAAGAAATTCTTCTCGAGTCAATCAGCATATTTCATATATCCCAGAAGTCGCAGTTTCTTCCTGATCTAAGCGGCACCGTACACTGCATTAAAAAGCCGTGTCATAATTTGCCACTTCTTTGCGAACCATTTCATTCATTTATTGCCCAATATACTCGTGCAGAACTCACAATATCATTCTGGTACTTCCTTTTAACCTTTTGGCTCTTTGCCCTCACGTCGACCAATTTCGTGTTTGGTGCCATCCAAAAAATACTTGAGCTAGCCTCTCTCATGCTCTGCGCGAATCCCTGGAAAACACTGGTATTCCAAACTTCACCTGTTCTTTGTTTAGATGCATTATCATTCCTCATACATATGTTAAACACGTTCATTTGCGATTGTAATTATTAGCGCCGCGAGGGCCTCTTTGATACTCAGCATATTCCTGGTAAATTATTGCGTGCGTTGAAATAATTTAAATAGAACATTCACACTGGACATAACTTTATTACATGTTACACATCTTTAGTGATATTTTAGTGGAGTTCATAATAACTTTGATAAATAATGTAAATACAGGAATATAGCAGTTTTCTTCCGAGAATTCAACAAAATCGAATCATGACAACCTTAGTAACGTATCACAGAAAAGTCACATTAATAATTTAGCAGTATTTTATTACTTTTCACACAAATATGTCCTACGCTTCAAAGAAGCTCGTATAGGAATGGGCTATCAATGACAGCTGCTCCCACAGCGACACCTCCCTAAAGTTCCACAGTTGATATGCATGTACAAAGTCACAACGAAAACGCCCTCAGAAGGTGGAAGATTGGATGTTTTTTGTGGGGAGTGCTTGAAAGCGAACATTTGGCACGGTTAGTTTATCGGAATCCGTGAAACGTTAGTGAACCTACTGTACAATAGTTTCCTCATGACAAGGCCATTTCCGTACTTTGCGCTTAAAGCGGACTTTACGCACTTGTGCGTGGTAGCACAAGCCTTACAATTTGCGTTGCCGCACGCGCAGAAGCTTGCCTTCCAAAGAAAAAAAGAGGCCTAGTACTCTGACCTAGGCCGTTTCCCATCCTTCCCCGTGGAGATCATCCTTGCTGTCTTCCCCAGCCCAGGGACAGGGTTTCGCTATGACCCAGATGCGCGGATGCTCTGACGCAACCCTTTCTCCCCTGAACCTGGGATTAACGTCGAGCGAGGGGGGGGGGTCCCCTGGAGCGACGGAGATAGCACAAGGGCTTTGTATCAATTCTTCGAACGAGGGTGAAAATCATGGAATGAGCCGAAAAAACATGTCGGAATCACTCACTTCATCAACTTTTTCGCCCTTTGTGCGCAGCAAATGACCACCTTGTCGAACCTCCGCTATACCTCGGTCTCCAAGTGCATAACCATACACTCCAAGTTCACTTACAACATTTGATAGTTGCACTGGTTGCATTGCTCGAACAAGATAATTCTGCAAGAAAAACGGTGATCAACTTGCAGAATGGATACCTCTCAATCGAAGCCTCACCTCAAGAACAAGTGGTTGTATCCGCTCCATAAGTATATGAGCTCCTCGTTCTTCTTCAGTCATTGGATTTAAGTTTTTCTACCATTTTCTCGCCATAGAAATTCCCACCTCCTCCTTCAGTCTGGGGCTTCAACACAAACTGAGCAGGACGAGCTATTGCACTCTGAATTTAGAAAGCATGTATGGCAGATTGAAAAATACGGTAAAGGGATAACTTCACCTTCACCAACTTCTCCGTGATTGGACTGGAATTGTTTATGGCCCACAGCCCAGCAAATGTTGCTCGTATCGCTGCTGCCTCACGCGGGTGTCCAATAAATCTCTCAACAACGCCATCTTCCGCAAGCACCTCAAAAATTAGCAAATCGAATTTATATTACGAAAACTAAATAGTTTGACTAATTCATCAAACCTGCTGTGTTTTCTTCGTGTTCGCCACCTGAAGACCAATCCATGGTGCTTTTATCGCATCTGACCTTTCCATCAGAAGGCGAGCAGACCATTCTGAAATCGCCCTTTCGCTCAATGTCTATGAACATTCCACAATGGGGGAAGTTTTTGGCAATACCTTTTTCAGTTGGGTAGCTGTCAGGTGAATATCCTGCTCGGAAGTAAACCACGGCTACTCGTGAACCGCACAGAAGTAAATGACGTTCAGGAGACAAAGTTAGGCTGAAAATAGGTAGCAAGACTAGGCTTATGCTCATATCGGAAATATTGATGCCCCAATGGCAGGGGGAACTCCAATCCGGATGGAACACAATGTTCCTCTTTCTGAAAATAAATCTGACACAACTTTATGACACCGGAAGAGGATCAAACAACCCGGTTACTATTTTTCAAGAGATCAAAGGAAACAACAAAAAAGATTTTGGAAAATTTTAGACATACCATTCATCGCATTCGGTCAAAGTCCTACGGACGATTTGATCTACAGGCACGCCCATATCCTCTAGCATGTACTCGACATGCCTCTGGTCAATTTGGTTTTGGTTCACATCTTCTACGACAACGAGTATGATAGCGTTCGGGTGATGAGAACAGTTCCCTACAAATGCCGCTACCGAAAATGATAAAGCTAAACCAAATTATTCTCGAACTTTCATCAGATTAAGCCTTTCAAGCGGAAATGCTGTTTGAATTTTTTCAGACCGACTATGCCACACTAATGAAAAAATGTACCAATGAAACCCTAAACTTCAACATACCATGCTTTGAACAAAGCTTCCGCAATCGTCTTGATCGGCTCATTCTTAGGGATGGCTTTTTCTATTGTTTCTCTGTCATAGCCGAGTTCGGCCATGGTCCTTCTGTGCAACTTTGTTACCTGAAAAGTACGCGTGCAAAGCTAGTGAGATGAACTACCACGAGAAGTCACTAACCCTTTCTGCATGAGCTCCCATACTGGATGCGATGTTATTCACTTCGATCTGCAATCAAGGAACGTGTAAGAAAATAATGACTCCTTACAAGATATCCATCAACACCAAAGAGGCTGCAACAGCCCCAATTACAGAACTATACGCTCCACTACCGCCATTCAATTTTCTCGTTTTGCGGGCACAGCTTCATTTCTGCCCACAAACTTTGATACATTGCAAATTCAATCTTCGTGGACAGAACGAGAGTGAGGATTCATATTCTTAAAAAAAACCCACTTGTCTTAAAAGGTATTCACATGAGAAGGGGTCTTTGTGGCACATATAATCTGAGCGCTGGATGACCAGCGTTTTCCTTTGTGAAAGACCTTAAAACTTCATTTCCATTCAGAACAATGATATACGAGAACAAATTTTGCCCCAGGCGGGACTAGAACCCGCACCTCTCGCTTTCCGGGCAAGTGCGCTACCAGTTACGCTACCGGGGCACCATTTCATCCCAACTCAGCTTTTCATGGTATACGTACCATAGCTTTCAGCACTCACACGTCTAACGTGTTGAGCCGGTTAGCCGATATCGGCAATGAACCGCGAGGCTGAAAGCTTTAGCAGATATTTTGAGCTTGTTATAAATGTACGTATACCATGAAAAGCTGAGTTGGAATGAAATGGTGCCCCGGTAGCGTAACTGGTAGCGCACTTGCCCGGAAAGCGAGAGGTGCGGGTTCTAGTCCCGCCTGGGGCGAAAGTTTTGTTCACAACCCAGCATTCTTGTGAAACATTCGCAACGCGAACTGCGGCGTTAAAACAGCAGTTAACAAACAAAACAAGTCAAAATACGTTCTTTACAGATTTACCTTCATCCTTCACTATCTTTAGTATATCGATCAAGCCCCGAGTGAAGGTATCGGTCTTGACGACATCTTTGTGACACTCGATTAGAAACTCGAAGTCATAGGCGATTTCATGGTATAGTGTGGCCATCAACTGAAGTCTAAGATTAAAAAACAGGTCAGCCGAAAAGCCAGAGACAGGATCGAAGTGATTCAACATTAGACTCACATTCTGGACATTAACAGCTTGTTCGAACAGTTTCCGAGGGAATGGGTGTAGGAAGTAGAGCAAAAGGCGCACTTTGGCAAATATCGCTGCGGTCCTTGTGTTCCTTTGTTCTCATAACCAAACCGTGCGCCTAAGAATATGTTGGATAAGTTACTCGTTGAAGGACAGGCGATTGCTGGCCAAGAAAAGCTAGGAGAACTTACATGCGCCCAGTCAACAGGACGACAGTACGAGTTCATCTAACTCGCTCTTGAGGAAGTGGTAACTTTGGGTAATCCGCTAACAAAACACCACCATTCTTTTCGGACACCATTCAATTACTGAAAATT